AGATAAAACAGAGTGCCATCCTGCTAAGGTGTATGCAGACTGGAAGAAAATTTAGTTGGGGAAGTACTTGTTTTTCCAAATTCTGGTATTCTGTTAAAATCAGAGGTGAAAAGGAAGATTTTTTTTTCTCTCAGGCTCTAATACATTTTAGATTTGTTTCTGTTTTATAGATTTATGCAACACTCCCACATAGATGTTTTTATATTACATGAATTTAATAATGCACTAAATTTATTTCTGTCTTCTGTTGTTGAAAGGTACCAAAGCCTCTTTCTGTTTTGTTTTGTTTTGTCTTTTATTTGATTTTGCTATCTAGGGTTTTGCTTTTTCTAGAAATGCTTTTCATTTAACATCTTTTCTAAAGTGTCAGGGCCCACTTTGATCTGCATAATTATTGTTTCTAGATTTCAATTTGTGTGCATTTGTCTCTCAAGACATTGGTGAAATCTCAGATTTTATATTCAGCATTAAAGAGGAATAAATTCCAGAAAACACCTATTCTGAAAATGGAATGCTTGTTCCCTTCCATTTCTTACTCCTTTTCTAATTTTAGTTCTGTGTTTGGTTGAAACCTTCCTGTTCGGTTGGGATACTGTGTTCCTGCTCCCATCATGAACCCCGTACCTGAAAGCTGCAGATTAGTTGTAAAATGCAGACAGATCATTTGACCATTGGAGGAGACACACATGTGGTTTCGTGTGTGTGTGTGTGTGTGTGTGTGTGTCTGTGTTGGAAGGGGACTGCAGAATCATCTCAGGCAGTGACCAGGACCTAGGATGGCATTAAATCAATCACTCCTCCCTTGACTGGTTCAAAAGATGACTGGTTTTGTGAGTACCCTGAAGCCACGGGCTGTGAATCTGGTCCCCTAATTCAGTGCAGAAGAAAGTGCAGTGTGGCCACAACCCTTAATAGCAGGGCCCCCTTTGATGCAGCCACCTCTGAAGGCAGGACACATTTCTGGAAGGCAGTGTCTGAGGTTGATCTCATCACTGAACTACTTCCAACCTTCAGCACCAAGCTTAGGGAGGGTGAAGGAGGTGGTAAGAGAGAATAGGCTGGTAACCACTGATTTTTTTACTATCGCCATAATTTTGTCTTTTCCAAAATGTCATATTAGTTGGAATCATTCAGTATGTAGCCATTTCAGATTGATTTCTTTTATTTAGGGCAGGTGGAGCACAGATTTTAAGGCAGAATACCATAACAATGAGTGCATGTCATTATACGTTTGTCCAAACTAATAGAATGTACCACACCAAGAGTGAACCCTAACGTAAACTGTGGGCTTGAGGTGATTATGATGTGTCCATGAACGTTCATCAGTTGTAACAAGTGTAGCACTCAGAGGAGGGATGTTGATAATGGAGAAGGCTATCCATGTATGGGGATAGGGAATATATGAGAAAGCTCTGTATTTTCCCGTGCAATTTTGCTGCTCTAAAAAAATAAAGTCTTAATTTAAAAAAAAGAGAGAGAGAGAGAATAGGCTGTAAGTTTCCAGAAATGCACTACATCATGAAAGCAGGTGAGCCAAATCATCCTTACCCACTGGTAACTCAGATTTTCAAAGTTTTCCTGGTTTTCTAGAAATGCAGGACAAGTCAGTTTGGGCATCCCTTTAATCAGCATGGTGCAGCGTTGGTGGTATAGTGGTGAGCATAGCTGCCTTCCTTTAATCTGCATGTGTTGAGCCCCTGGAATGTGATGGGTACCGTCTGAGC